CCCCCCCCCCCTCCAAAACGCCCTAAGACGGACAGCAGGCTCATCATTTTGGAGAGCGTCGAGAGGCGGGAAATACAACTAGGTAAGCGTTCATTGCCTGAGATGCGTACAAACTGAGACAAGAAAATCGAATCCTTTTAAGGCAGACAACGACAATAAGCCCTCCACAACAATAACTCCATAAGTGGAATTTGTTGCAGAGTAACTTAAAGCCAAAATTTAAGTCACCTTAACATATCTTAAGGTTGGAAAGAGGATGGAGGTCATACCTAATGTATTCCATCGGAGTCATCTCTAATTTCTGAGAACTAATCGTCTCAAGCTCACAGAGGAGTTTAATCCAGGGGCGACCAAACGTTATTTGTAGATCTTATTGATGGTCTTCAAGCACTTTGTTTTAATTATTGAATATATCTGTAGAGTATAACACACCCAAGGACGACTTAGGAAACTCTTTTGAGCTAGAATATTCTGGAGGTTTAGCCGTATGAAGAGACTTCGCAAACAATCAGCGGTCAATCATATGCGAGAAAGTTTAACGTTAAACGCATTTAATGACTAAGCATATTGGTGGTTTGAACAGTTCGGCTGAAAAAAAACGCGGATAAAAGAAATTTACATTAAAAGACATGGAGGAATTAAGTACTCACGATGTGCATTCAATTGCATCAGAAGTCTGGTAACAGTATCTTGCTGCTGTTTATATGCTCCCATATCAGCATGAAGGAATGATTTCGCCTTCAATCGCCCACCTCGTGGCAGCACAGAGAGCAGAGCCTTGTAAGCCTCCAAATCATCTGCCACTTCGTAGTCTTTCATTTGCTTGAGAGCAGCTAAAATGAATTCATTGAAACCTTGACGAGGCGCGCCCGAGCGTGCCTTGTATAGTTCCACGGTATCCAGAAATGCGGCCTTCTTGATAGCTTTTATTTGAGAATGCTTCAAGGTTTGCTTCACCGATGACGCTGAGCTCTTCGCCAACTTGTCCTGAATGAAGGTCTTCGACGCTTCTGACCAACTAAAAGAGTAAGAGTAATAGTTAATCAATCATTAAATCTTTCCAAATTGTAGAGTTTATAAATAGTCAAGTAGACATATAGTCTTCCACCTCATGTTTATTGAGGTAATTGAAAATTCCAATGCCAAGACTTCGGTCTCTAAACAAGGATTTCATTGAAGCTTGATCAACAACCTCTGATACCTTCTACGATAGTTACGGCTGTTTCTTTCTATTGGAGCTGAGTTTAGAAGATATCGGTTTTTAATGTCTACATCCCTCACTTATTAAGTCGAATTCGTAATTTTCGGTTACTTTCATAATAAACATTGATTTCCTTTTCATATCATCGGGTTTGAAAGAGCCCGTTAGCACCATGACGAAATAGGAAAAGTGGCCCTAAAAATACAGGATATGACAAGTTGTACCAATAACTAACGAAATGAAAACAAGCGCATAACTTAGACATACAAATAAGACTTACAACACTTCTGCATGACTGGCTCCTGACTCCGTCTTGTTATCAGTAGTCCCTCCACCGTCTTTCTTCTTCCTTTTGAAAAAGGTGAATTTGGTTCTGTTGGGGTTAAAATTCCACGAAAAAGACGAGGCAGGAGTTAAAATCCGCCGGGAAATTTCTAGGGATCGAAGCTTAATAATAAGCCAAAAGAAGTACTCATTATTTAAAGGGAGCATCAATGTAATAAACAAGTACGAAGTCAACACGTCCGTTAGAACTACTTTAATAGAAAATTTATACAGTAAGAGAGAGTGGTGGGGGGAGGGGGGTAAGGGGGAGATGAAAGAATACAAAAGTTAGAATTTAATAGCCTCTTGAACAGTTTCACAGTTATGGCTTCCGTCACAGAATGGGGCTGAACCGGTCAACTTGCAAGTACACAGCCAAACCTCCGTTTTTCTGGAAACAAATTAATTATAAATAGCAAGTACAGATTGTGAAACTTTGTGCACTACTTAGGACATATCAAATAATTTAGAGAATAATGAAAGGCTGCTTTGAAGTTACTAGGAAAATGAAATATAAATGCAAAATGGCCCATTCTCTCAAGTTAATTTTCTTTTAATTGGAGCTTATTAAGTAAAAAGTAATTTGTTTAAGTAGTAAATATTAGGTTTTAATTCTACAGGTTGTCTGAATCCACCCACTATAGTACAAAGGCTGATGCCTAATACAAGGCGAATGAATATAAAGCTTACAAAAATATTTCTTAGTATTTAACATGGGAAAGTAGCTGTGAATAATGAAATTATTTTGAAAATCAGACCATTAGCTCACTTTTGGAAAACGACTTTAATAGGCTTGAACATTGGCTTTTGATTACGAGACGGCCATTTTTGAACAAATCGAGCATGATGGCCATCACAAAATGGCTGTTCTTTACTCTGACCACAAGAACACCACCAGTATATTTTATTAGGTTCGCATACAAAACGAACTGGTCGTTTATCGGCGATTTTGGGTGAGACGGCAGGAGGCAACTCATCTGAATGCGGAAAAGTCTCAAAATTATTATTTCACAAGGTGTTTATTGAAGAGCTATGATTAATACCTCGAAATTTAGGAGTTTCAGGATGCGGTAGGGGTCTTACGTTACTTTCTTCATCAAAGCGCTCCGAGAATGGAACGTAGAATGATCCGGGGCGCATAAAACGACCAGTTCGTATTGGTATGCGAATAGAGGAAAGACGATGATTTAACGAAAATCCAATTTTAAGCATAGCTACAAAAAATTTAAAAAGCAATAAACAAGTGTTAGATGTGATATGTAGAAAAAGTATTTAATTTTGAAGTAAGTTTATTAGTAAAAATGATGACCACGCCTTGTGTGGAGCACCTCACCTCAACTCGTTCTCTGATAAAAGTTAAAACGGTTCTTTGCGACAAAGTAGTTAAAACGTCGTCTTTATAAAATGATAAGATTTTACGGCTTTAAAACTCTCGAAAAATGAAACGTACAGTGTGAATTGTTTGATTTTCGTTTTTATTTTGTTATATAGTGTCTTAGATCATAATATAACATATTGGTTTAATTTTGCCCTTAAAAATAATATTAACTAAGGCATTAGCAAACCCACGCAACATATAAATTGGATATTAAAATATTTGCATCGGAGTTTTGATTTGTTTCATGTGATAACGTATTTCTTTCAACATAGTGAACTGTTAAAAATTTCTTTTCTGAATTGCCCATTGACTGATCTGAATCACTTTTCAACGGAATTTATTTCTACATAATTCCGGGACGAAATTATAGTATTTGATTTTAATAAATGGGGATATTGCAAGCCAGTCTATCCAAAGGGATTTTATTTTGTATCCAACATTAATTATTGATAACTTAATTCATTAAAGCTGAAACTTTGTACTTGGACTACCATTCACATTCGCGCCTAACTTTTATAGCTCCTCAGCGAGCATAGAGTGAGACCGCATAGTTTTTCTCCCTAGTGGGCATATCTTTGCAAAAAAATTTGCATTGTAAAGGCTATGTGGGCTATTTTCTGTTTCAAAATGCAAACTTACTCGTCCCTCCCCGTAATGCCCCCATGTTTTCTAATCTTAATACTAACGTTCAATTTGGTTGGAGGCATGCACGAATTCCAGATTTGTTATCATTATGAGACCATAATCCCGTGTAATCCAAGATAGTAGTTAAAAACCTAGCCGAACTTAAAGCGAAAAGATAAAATAAACAATAAAAGATCGAAAAAATAAAGGGATATTGATAAAATTATGAACCTTTTTATGTTGGTTTCAGTTTTCCCTTGTGGCAAACTTCATCACACCAATAGAAATCCTGCTACAGAACACTATTCAGAGATATTTAGCTATTTATGTTCACGCGAATTATGCTAGATCTATCTGTTAACTAAACGCTTTGCCAAAATGGCAATTCGCTATCAATATACGTACTGAATAAACGTATTCCGTGCTACACGTCTGTTTCCTTTATAACTTTATCTTAGCTTAGCTAATTCCCGGGGACTTTCGAGTTGGAAGAAACAACTATAGAGCTTTCTGAGAATAGTAAAGGTTATTGAGGTAGCCAATCCGCTACACCTTATTCTAAGGCTTTTTATCTTTTACTTATAAGCAAACCCTATTCCGCAATCTCTAGTATATCGCAAGCACCGCATTTTTAATATTATTGATAAAAAAACGCGTTGAAACATCTTAACCAGATTGATATGATTTTCTCATACCGTAGGTAGCATAACCGGTACTTTGATTCCCTATTTAATGACAATAGTTACGGATGTAATCCGACAAAACACAATAAAATTGTAAAAGTAACACACGCGTTCGCATTGATAGGTTGGTATTATTATCCAAGAGATGAGCAATTACTGTAATCAAGCAAGTTCTAATAAAAGGGAATTAAAAGAAATGGAGTTTAAAAGGTGGAATTTGCATAATAGACATTTGATAGGGAACTACCATTCTACCTGTAGCAACAAAGTATCCGGTTTTTGAGACGTAAACCACCTAAGCAACAGTCAAATTGAAAGTCTAAGTTCTCCTAATTTCAATGCGTAGGAGGGAAAACGTAACTTACAGTGTGCAAGAAAAGGGGACCTCACGGAGTTACAAAGGATGACTACAAAATGTCAAGTTAGATAGCATTTGGACTGCGCCTTGGCGTCGTCCCAACGCCTGTGCGACAGACCGCCTAGGTAGCCATTTACGTGCTGTTAGATGTATGGGTAAAGTAGCAGTTATAAGAAAATCCTCCTTTAGGAATAAGGAAACATTTCAAACAATAATGGCATAAAATCAACTCTTTTTCATTTTCCCTAATTGATTGCTTGTGCATTTTATATAAAAAAAATTAAAAAAAAATTTGTAAAAATTTTGAACGCCAAATAATTTTATGGGGTAGTATGCCAGGAAAGGCAAGACTATTACCATTATGGTGGGATGAACTCACAATTTAGCAGTCACGAATAAGTTATCGCTCCTCTGAAAACTTTATAAACCGGTAGAGGAGTTGAATACTCAATTTGAAACACGCGTGCTCATTCAGTAAGGTGCCCAAAGTGGTGGAGATGCTAGACACCGGAGACAGGTCGATAAGCAACTAAAGCGAGAGGGGATGGCCCATCATCCAAACGAAACAAAACCTAAGATTTTGAGATCGAAGGAAAGGATTAAAACCACATGACACGCGCCTAGGGCTTGAGATAGGCATAGGGAAACAATACGGTTTAGCCAAGTCGGTAGATGTGCTCATCTTCAAGTACTTCTCTGAGTCAGAGGATTGTGGATATAAGGAAATATGACCACAGTCCCTTATCCTCTGCATTCTTTCATATTAACAATTAGGTGTGCCTTGATGAAAGACCCTATGTTAATGGAATCTCCTTATCAGGTAACTTCATAGTTATAGTGTGTCAAGGAAGCCTTTTTCGGCATAATGGACTTAAGCGATAATTCATATTCTGAGGAAAAACTACCTTACATTATTGAGTAATATAATGAAGTACCAGTTCCTCACTTCCAGATAACTATAGTTAACCTGTCAGCTGTGAGTGATCGAAAAAGAGAAAACGACCCTTTAGCAACTAACGACGAGCCACTGTTACTCGGGCGAAGAACACAACAAAGCCCTCCAGTTCTAATAGGATATTATAAAAGGCAGGGTTGAAAGGCCACACCAGAATATCATCCTCAACATTGACACTAGATTTAGTGATTTTCCCCAGAAAGTATATTGAAAACGCAGTCTTTATTAAACAGAAAGGAAAAATAGATAGCAAGCTACGATAACCCGTAGATATGCATTCGTCAATCCAGTTATTTCAATACAAAAATATACATTCATTATATCACACCATTAAAGTATAGAGCTAAGAACCCAGTATTTACTAGGCACAAAATCTACAAAATATTTATATTTGAAAGGAGGGGGAGCTTGAAACGATACGAACTGTTAGTAAGTCGTCAATAGTGTAAATGTGGAAAAAGCATGTCACAGAATGGGATCGAAGACAAATGGGCATTGGGGCATATCTAACTATGAAACGAATTTCATAGTAAACAATGAGGCACCATTCACTATTTGAGTGTTAAATATGAGTTGAATAGAAGTATATTAAAGAAAACCACATTCAGCTAAGCTCTCTAGGAATGCTCATCAGACTTCCAGCGATGAATATCTAACCAATAAATCACTGTTTTCACCCTTATTCGAAGCAAATGTGACGAAAACATTACCAGCTCTAGTCAGTGTAGAGCTAGACACCTAGCAAATCTCCTCAAATCATGAATTTATAATAAAGAAAAATGTCATCAATAACGCCAAAAAGAACCACGAGAAGATTTTATAAGAAATATTAAAGTGAAAATACAAAATATCAACAATATGGAACATAGACCTGAATATCACCAACAAAAAAATCGATTTGGGCCTATTAGGTTTGAAACAATTGCAATTCCAAAGAGCATAAATAATCTCGTTATTTGCTTGAAAATAAATGATATAATTACTATTGACAATAACTCCAAAATATGAACACGACTACTTTGTACAAGGAAAATAGACAAATACGACGACTTTCAATAGATCATATCGCGATGAATAATATCCTCGGGCGGAACGTTAGGAGGCCGCCTCTGTTGGGAATCATGCGATCTTCCTTGGACAGGATTATAACCATAGGGAATGGGCCTTTGGTTGTGCCGCATTTGAGGTAATTGCTGATGAACCTGTTGTCTTTGATGCCTTTGATAATGAGCCGAATTAAAGTACTCCAAGTAATTCGTTCCTTCGCGAGAGAATATCTTCAAATCACCAGGAGGAGGATCTTCATAGAAGTAGTCGTGAGCAAGAGCCTCGTCAGCGGTCAAACGCTTAGATGGATCAATAATCAAGAGCTTGTCGATAAGATCAATAGCTGACGATGAGGTGACTTTGTCTTTAAGGCATTCTCTAACATGGCGTCTAACATCTGTTCGCAAGTTAAGGCTCCGATAATAATCGAGACGCTCAACTCCAGGCCATGTTTCAGGAGTAATCGGCCCACAGAGATTGAGAATAAGATTGAGCTGAGATGTCTCATTGTCCCCCTGAAGAGTGGATTATAAAAGTACAACTCATGCACCAAGGTTAATAAAAGAGCAAGGGTTATTATACCTGCATAATTGGATACTTCGTCCAAAGTTCAGCCATTATGCAACCAGCACCCCACATATCAACTGCTTTACCATAGTGCTTATCATTAAGCAGGATTTCAGGGGGTCTGTACCAAAGGGTAACCACTCTACTAGTATAACGGTGAGGTTTATCCGGATGAATGGGTGCAATTGTAGTGCGAGCCAAACCGAAATCCGCTATCTTTAGTACCCCATACTTGTTAATCAGTATATTTGCCGCCTTTAAGTCCCGATGAATAACATTGTTCCTACAGTCAACATAAAACAGGAAATTAGATTACAACAAGTATTCAGAATGACAAAACCATTAGTACGTACCTGTGAAGATAGAAAATTCCATTAAGAAGTTGAAGCATAATTGTTTTCTTTACTGGATCTTCAAACTCTACCCTTTGATTAAGACCAGCAAGATCATGGTCGCAATATTCGAAAACAAGATAGAACTGAGGTCTAAACATCTGATCATCTGCCTCTAAAGCACAAAAATATGCATCTATAGAAAAACTAATGGCAAATACTTGAGCTGCAGCAGACCTCCTTCAAGGAGACGATGTTATCGTGTTTTAGGGATAGCAAGAGCCGGATCTCCCGAACAGCTGTGACGGGAAACTACACAAATATTAATAAAATAAGTAATGACGTACCCCTTCTTTCTCAGTTTCAGTTTTAATTCGTTTCATAGCAACGAAAAGCTTAGAATTCCTATTTCTGGCTTTGAAGACCTCACCGAATGTACCCTGTCCGACTTTCAACAAGCTTTCATATTGATCAACAAATGAGACTTTTGTTATACGCTTAAGAGTTTCGTAAACCGTATTGAAGTTGGCAGTCTGATCACTTTCCAGATCATTCAAAATTCCATCAACAAAAGGGGGTTCGGAGAATATGCTACCCGGCATCTCGCTTATGTTGACAAAAGCGCGGACAAATAATACCCAAGTGGAGAGTGAAACAAAAATGGTAAAATCATCATCATGTTCTATATCATTTACAAAAATTAAATTATTTTTAAAGGTTTATATTGGGTAATAATTTAAAATAGTGTATTTTATGGCAGAAGTTATTCAAATAATGTATTTACTGCACTAAAAATATTTCAACCCTGCCGTTTCTTATTTCGGAATATACAGAATAAATACATTTCCAATGTAAAAATGCAAACTCATATTCCACAATTTATTAATAAATTCGAAAATTAGTCTTCGAATCATGTATAATTTTTGGTTCATGTTTATTTTAAGCAATATTATTTCGAGCAATAGCAGTCGCTTATATAATTAAAAGCTGAAAAACTTGTTCTAAATTCGATTCAAATACTTGTGACTATTTATTGCTGTTCAAGATTAACTGTCACCGAAAAGTGTAAAATATATTCTAACCTATTTATTAAGAAATCGGCTCAATTTGGCTTTGCCATCACTAATAATCACGCGCAGTAATTACGTGATATTCTATCAATACCTTTTGTGCAACCTGAGGGAAGAAAATTAATTTAAATTGAGCAAAATTATATATGCATGGAGGTTAGTCAACTCAATGTGAAAAGATATATTTAATCGAGAGAAAGTTAAATAGTCCGAAATGACAAAAATATGACACGGTTTGTATTGCTCGGAGTGTGTGGATAATTTCAATAAAAAGTCACACCTAAGTACGTTTTCCTTTTATTATCAATGGAGCCTTGGTGACATCCGACAAGACACTTATCGTAGGTCATGTGAAACAATATTAATATCCTTCAACACAATAAATATTCAGAAATTTTACACTATAAGTCTTTACTAGTGAAAGTGATTTAGCAGCAGTGACCATGTTGATCGCTAAAGGGCATGGCTTTTTCTTCCATAAAAACGGCTGATTGTAGTGTGAAGCTTAGAATCTCACTGTTTTCGCACGAATACTCATGACATAGGGAATCAAGATATTCGAGAAGGGAATCATTGTCATCAAACGTCCACATAAAGACTTTTATTGCGTTTTAATCGACTTTGTGAAATCTGTATTTTAGTTTACTTTAAAATCTGATGGCTTGAAAGTGTAAGTGAACTTATAAGATTTGTTAAAACTACCCAGGGGTTTAGTCTTTTTCGTAGAAGCTTTGCTAAAGAATGCATGACCTAGCTCTTCAAATAGGACTTAATCTTAAGATTAGTCTTTTTTGATACTAGTGGGACTTATCGGAAAACCTAACTATTATTGTAAGAAAAGAGTTTTTTAGGAAATCAGCTATATTCAATTCCCGTTTAATTTTTTAACGTCGATTAAAAGAAATTAATAAATGCTTATTTTTTCTGTTTCAGTTTTCTGGTTATACGTATTTAAAAACACGATGAGCCTAATTCTACACATTTTCATCGAATTACATTTTAATACATTTTGAAAGACAAATGAGATATCATACTAGAACGGCTTATAGTCTTATCCTTTAAGGGAGTATAACTGTGGCTTGATACACGTTAGGTCATTTTTACGTCATCGCCATGCGCACTTGTCTAACAAAATAATTCATTTTCTTTGTACCATTTCATTTCATGCATGATTTATCAGCTTAGTGTGATGTTGTTATCTTTTGAAATAGAGGGCAACTACTAATAATCAACAAAATGGTTCCTTTAAAACGATTTAATTAAAATATAAAGAATCTGTTATTGGTAAAGATGCTGACGGAAAGTTCCTTTTAGGATGTTAAACCCCTTCTTCATTAATAAATGAGATGAAAACGGGAATAATAGATTGCAGGAACCCAACTGAGTCTTTGAAGAGAAAAACGTGTATTATGTTGATTGTCGACAGCCATCTGGTTCCACCATGAAAACACACGTCACTAAAATCTCATCGAACGGTAAAGGCTCACGATGAGCGTCTGATAAATGAAATGAAAGTTCTGTTTAAATTTAAACAGATAGGAAGGGCGACCGGATATATTACACGTGTATGGCTGTAGTAGGAGCTTTCGGCCCCTTACCACACTTCAAGTCCGAAAGTGGCTGTCAATCGCCTTTTGTGGCCACATAAATTCTAATTTTTCTCTTTCTTCTGCCAGAGCTTAATTCAATGGCCTTTTGCGGATGCATTGGGAGATGTAAGGAAAGGCGCTAATCATTGTGCAAGTATTACAAAAGCAAACTTTGAGACCTCTTCCAAATGTCTGGAGATGGGATAGAGGCCGAATTGGAATTGTTATAGACGCTAATCGCGGTCATTTTAAGGACAACTATTGACAATAAGTACCTTTAACGTCAACGGAATTTTTTCGAATCATATTAATGAGACTCTCGGATTTATCTCAAAAACTCAGTATATCTTATTAAGTGACTATAGAAGGAATTACTAAGAGAATTATGCTGCCCGCAATTATACTTCTTATTTTTACACAAAAGGCGAAAAAATACCAGCAATGTTAATGCGTGGTGCACAACGTTACCATGGCTGAACAAAAAATCTCATAACGCCAGAATTCAGAGAAAGGGAGATTCTTAACATCCTGGCTACTCTGAGTCGTTCCTGCATTTTACTGCTTTCAGACTTAGTTTTTGTTTTTGGGTGGAGAAATGTTTTCGTAAAATAAAAGCTCCAAGGCCTTTTGCTCTTAGAAATAAAAAGGCTCCCTGAAAATAAAAATTATTGCATCTATGACTGTTAGTTTTTGAAAGTGTGGAGCTAATTTATTGGGGACAACATGCAATTGGCTACTAGTGTACAAAATGCTATTGTAAATATGCTTACAATTTAAAGAAATACTACATCTATTGTGTGTGCATTCAAAGTTTTTGAGCTGAGGATATGAGACCTTCGCGCCCCACCCAAGAACTTTGCGAAATACCCCATTTTCATGCCAATTGTGCTGACTTAATCACACTGATAGATGACTTGAAAAATTACCAATCAGATAAAGGCATATGTGACCCATAAACTAATAAGAGAAAGTGGATTTCAGAAATAGGGCAATTGAGCCTAGGATAAATGAAATAATACCATCTCGAAGTACAAAGTTTATTATGATTTCTATTTGTTATATTTATTTATATTGTCATTTATTTGGAAATATAAGTAAGATCTTTCCAATTAAAAACTAATTGATGGATTTGCCAGAAATCAGTATCTCTGGTTACATTGATAACTAGGGTCTCGTTTCTTAGCGATAACATGGCTTTAGAAAGCTACTTAAAAAGAGGGGTGAGCGATAGACTTACTTCCACGTGGTGCACCCTGGGCAACGTATACTCATACGGCAAAAAGGTCTATTAACCGGCAGTTGACTCCTCACTTCAAACTACCATCACCCCACTGTATGTCATATTCGACTACTTCCACAGTACTCACCTTACCATATCTCTGTCATTGCCTCTCTGTCTCCTTTACATCTGTGAATCATTATTCTGCGCCCTTTCGAATTTTTGTCACTTTGATGTCCCCTCCTCTCTATGAAGCCCGAAGTCAGCTAGAGGGCTAATGATAACTATCAAAACGCCTGCCATTTGAAATAACTTTAAAAAGACATTTAATGGGTAAATGTTCAGTATTGAACTGGATCGTCATATAAGTGATCATCATCATGATCAGTAAAATTGATTTGAAAACCACCTCAAACAGAACAGAACTATCCAAACATCCCGAAGGTATTAAGGATAGAAGGAAATAAATGGCAAATCATGATAAATAAATCGAAAAATTTTGACCATTGTTCCATCATTTTAGAAATATTTATTTATTTATATCAAATGGCAGGCATTTTGATAGTTATCATAAGCCCTTTAGTTGACTTCAGGCTTCACAGAGAAGAAAGAACATCAAAGTGAAAAAAAGTCGAGAGGGGGAGGG